GAGATGTGCTCATGAATATGCCCATTCATACAAGTAGCCCTTTCTGGAGGGGTGAAGGCATTTTCTGCCCCAGCTGCCAGGTTTTGTACAATGGGCAAGGGACTGGCAAAGGCCTGGCTTCTCTTTCTACCTCCATGGGCAATGTTTAAGCACCTGTGCTACCCTACCTCTTCCCCAAGCCTGAAGAGCTCAACTGGCACTCTCCCAGAAGTGGTTGCATGAGAAAGTCAGAAAAGACAATTCCTCCACCATTAGAACCTGCCTGGCTACCACGCCAACTCTCTGCCTGCACCATGCACCAGCATTCCCAACATCCAGTGCTTCAGGTGATGGCCCGGCTGAGAAAGCCAGTGGAAGGGATGTGTTACTCAGCGCTAAGGTAGTTACTCACTGTTTTGAGGTTTTCTGCCAGGAACTGTACAGCACCTTACAAAACACAGGGGGTAACTGCAGCCACTTAGGTTTAAAACACAGATATTCTGATGAATCACAACTTGTGGTGTCTCTGAACCATGTATTAGTCTGCAGTGCATGTGGATGCTAAACACAGGACTAGACTAAACTGAATAGCATTCATAACAGAAAACCATTATCAAGGGGGGGGGGGGGGAATGGGAAAATTGTGAAAACTGAAAGAACTGAAAGCATGCCTCCTGGTACTGGACTATACACCAAGATGCCTTGCTGGAGTTCCTCCAGCACATTGGAAATACATTTCCCACTGCTTTGCTGTCAGTTTCAGCCTTTTTTCTGCCAAACATTCAAGAACTCTTCCCCTATACTCAGAAGCAGCAATCCAAGTAGGTTTGAGTGCACTTACTAACATTTTACTAGTCCCAAGCTGGAGTGTAGCAACAGTTGCTGAATACAAGCTTGTTCACGCAGTTTATATTCGTTATTACGTGAAAGAGCAGTTTGGTAACTTGAACTTGCCAGGAAGCAATTAGCCAGCTTTATGCTCTGAACCCCAGTTTCCATAAGAAAATTAACATTTGTCTGGATGAAATAACTCATAAATGAACTCATTTTCTTTCCTCAATTTCTTCTCTCCCCCCCCCCCCCTTTTTTTTAAATTTTATTTTATTTTGTGTATTCTAGGCCTTAGCAATGATATTAGTTCTAGTGTGGGAAAATATTATAATTGAGATCTGGTAAGTTATTTGCAGACTTCAAGTTTTTCTTTACACTGTGCTGACATTTAGTACGGCCCCAGTCAGGAAAACAATGCTGCCATTCATGGCTCTAGACGTAGATTTCAATCGACTTAAGCGGGCACAATGAAACTTGGTCATTCACTGGTTACCCATATTGTGTTCTCAAATTTTCTCGCAGCAAAAGTATAATGACTCAGTATTGTATGGTTGCATAGACAAGAGCTCAGAACAAGGGACACTAGTTTTGTCTGACGGTGTGAGAAAGTCGTGAAGGGATCTTTTCTTCCAGATGGTGTTAAATTCAGCTGCCTTTTTAACATTGGCCTTGCACAGCAATCTGCTGCTCCCTTCTCACAAAGAATAAGCCAGGGTCCCTGCTAGTTAACATGCGCACTCACGCAACCGGCAACTTCAACTGTTTTACAATGCACTAGTATGCTAAATAAACTCGGTCTGCTCTGTCCCGCTGCTGAAACTCACCTCCAAAGAGCTGCTCCACTGATATTTACTTCTTCCCCACCCTGTTATATAAAGTTGTATATGGCTTGATTTCCACACACACACTGATTTAAGGAAAGAGCTCCTCACAGATAAAATTTAGGAAATTTTACTTACGGTGGGAGCCTCTGAAAACATAAACTCCGAGAGCGCGCTGCTACATGCTCCCTTTTCCCAAGTCGGAAGTTAAATGTACAGGACAAAAGTGTGGGTGGGGGGGAGAAATGGGGCGCTTTGCTCCTACAGCAGTGAAGGAGTAACAATAGTAATAATAGCCAAACGTGTTTTATTGATTGATAGTCGCATAACATTAAATAATGTACGAAACAATAGGACAGTATAACGCTGGTGTTTTTTTCGGTTGTTTTCCTTCACAGATTTACATCAAAGAGCAAGACGCTAGCAACAGCTGAAGTGAATAGACCCCATTGAATGCTTAAGTAAATAATGGGTTTCCGCAGAAAACAGCTTATTGCCTTTAACTGAAGCTCTTTGAGGAAGAAAACTATGCACTTTGTCATGCAAATGCTAATTGTGGCAAGCAGTGGCTCTAGGTAAATAGCACCCCTGGACTGGCAATCAATGGGGAACGTGGGGGCACTCTGCGGCCCCACAAACACGCTCTCCGTGTAAATAAACAAGGCAGTAAAACTTTGGCACGTGTAACCAAAAAGAGGGGGGAGTGAAGCGAGTATTTGCACTGCGGTGCGGGGATGCAGCTACGGGGACGGGGAAACTTTTGAGGTCAAATTCTTTGTCTTAAACAGACAACGCCCCTACTGCCGCCAAGACCCCGCTGCCTTCCTTCCTCAGCTTGTGGCGTGAAGGCGAGTATTCCCGCCGCGAGCCCCAAAACGAGGGGGTTTATGTAAGCAAGGTGAAAATAAATAAGTAAAAATTAAAACCAAGATGCTGCGGGTAACGAGCCCTTGTTCTATGGGGACCGCTGAGTCCCACTCCTTCATCCCTCATCTCATTTTTAACCCGCCCCACAAACGAGCGGTTTCCCGCCCGGCAGTGAGGTTCAGTCCAGAGGAAAAACCTTGCCTTGCACAATTAATTAATTAATTAACTAACAAACCCTCTTCGAATGCTCTGTGAGAGGCACCTAAACTGAGACGGACATCACCCGGACCGGTGTTCATCCCACAGCCGGGGCGGCGGGTCCCGGTCCTGGTTCCGGTCCCGGACCCGGTCCCCCGCAGGGGCTTGTCGGTCACGGCCCGCAGAGGCACTGCGCTGCCCCTCGCCCCTAGCGTGGGAACGGGAGCGCTCAGCCTTTCACATCTACTGCGCGGCGTTTAACGGAATCAATTAGGCAAAGACAGACCCTGCTTCCCCGCACAGCCACCACCCTCCCTCCCCCACCGCCCCAGCCCCAAACCCGTGTTTTTGTCAGGTCTATATACGTCCTAATTATTTCAGTTTGGGATGCCAGAGCTGTTTCCTGGATAGACCTGATCATCCTTTAACAAAAAGAGAGGAGGCGCACGCGTGGGTTTTGGAGTAAATGTCACTTTCATTTCCAATGCTAGGCGCGGACTGGGACTCGGAACATTTTTTAACACTTTGACAAGTGGGGAGGCGATCTCTTCCCCATCATGTCTTTCTGCTTCAGCAGCTTCCTCAAGGAAACCCTCTCGGAGCAGAGAAGCATCTGTGCTCGCTTTTTGAATACGAGAATAAAAACCGGCCGTCACTTTTTCTAGTCTTTGTGCAGCTCCGCCGAGTTCCCAGTAGATATAAATTATTAAGCTTGTCTACACTTCAGTGTAAACTTTTTCTGAAAGCTTGCTTTCATATGAGCCCTGGTGCTTTGTCTCAGATGCACACAGGAGGGTTTGGGGTTGGGTTCAATTTTGTGGGTTTGGGTCTGTTGGTTTGTTTAGGGTTTTTTTTGCTTTTGTTTTTTTTTGGGGGGGGGAGGGAGGGCTGCGTTTTGTTGTTGTTGCTCGTGTTTTGGGGGTTGTTTTTGTTTTGTTTTTCTCAGTTCAGTCAACGCTGTATCGTCACCACCATCATCATCACCACCAGCTACCACCTTTAAGGCCGTTTCATTACAATAAAGCACTTTGCAAAATGAAGGTCAGCTTCTCCACATAGCTGTCTGAGAGTGAATATGTATATACATAAAAATATGTCCTCTTAGCTCAAAGTTAAGTGCTCATGGTTTCTCATTTAGCGTTTATTCAACAGGAAGAGTTGCACATGCGTTGTTTACCACCAGCACCATTCCCTCTGTGTAGCTGTCGTTCTGCTGGCATTGCCATCTGACAACTTCAAATTTCGGAATAAGTGTGCCATTTAATTTCCTCCACTCCCACCTTCAGCTGTAAAAACGTTAGATTCAATCAGCGTTCCTGACCTTTCTTGGTTTTTTTTTTACTGTCTCTCGCAGTAATCTTTCCTTTCCACAGGCTGTACGATGATCTTGAAGGAGTTTTTACTTTCGGTTATCTAGCTTTATGAAGACCAAAACACTCATACAGCTAGATAACCAAAGATAACAACTCGCTTCCCTTAAAGCTTTTTTAAGTGTATATATATAGATATATATATAATTTTCTCTTATTATAGTTTTCCTTGATAGAATCCGGATTCTTTGACAAACAGGCGTGCTCTGTCCTCCAAGAGCACCAGTGCTGCTTTATTACATTCATCCTTGCATGCAGTCGTGACCTGGTTCATGTGCCGCTGTATACGTGCAGCTAATAACATTCAAAAGAGATCCGTTGCCTTCAAAGTTTATTCCGAACTTTTCTTTATTATGTTTTCTTTTCAGCCTCCGGCAGCAGTACCCAACAGTCCGTACTTAATGGTAGAAAATAAACCCTAGATATTAAGGTGCGTCGAACGGCGTTTAAAGAGTAAGAAGAAGCATCCATTCCTTCGCAGGCCTCGATTTGCATTGTAAATCGCTGTGGTCGCACAAAAAAATTCTTTAGGCTCTGTGAAGATGTAAAGCCAGCGGCAATTCCCAGCGCAGCTTAAGGAGGAAGAAGAAGAAGAAAAAGGAAAAAAGAGGAAAAAAGAAGGAAAATAAAATCCCATTTCACTAGGACGTTACAAGATGATTCGAGGATGCGACTCCTATCCCTTCAGGTTATGAACGGCATGGAGCTTTTTAGCAAATGGTGGCGGCTTGATTGCCAGTGCCTCGCTTACGTGCGTGTTTTGGGGGAAGTTCCTCGCTTTCCCGGGTTTCCTATCGCGATGGGGGGGGGGGGGGGGGGGGGGGGGGGGGGGGGGGGCAGGAGACGCGGTCCCGCTGGCCTGCTGCTGCCCCCGGCCTGAAAAAAAGGAGAAAAAGGCCATCATGGGGGGGGGGGGGGGGGGGGAGGGGGAGGAGTGGGGGTGGTGTGTGCTTGTCACCGCCAAAATGTGGACCAGCCCGGCTAGGTCAGAGGTCCCGGACCGCAGGAGACCGAGGTAATGATGATGTCATGAGAAATCTCAAGTGCACGCGGCTTAATTGATGCGCACGAGCCCCATCTCGCCTCCGATCATACGCAGCTCCCGGCTTTTACCTCCCTCCTCGCCAGCGCAGACCGCTCTGACCTCCGCGGGGACGGGAAGGAAACAACACACCCATCCTCGCTACTGCGTGATAAAAGCCCTTTTCACCGAGCCAGGGGGAAGCGTCCCTCCGCTGCAGCCCGTCTCCCCGCCAGCCGCAGAGGGGAGCTGCGGCCGCCGGCAAGGCCGGGAGCAGCACTGCGCTACGCTGCCGGTTCCCTCTCGCCGTTGCTGTGTGCGGTGGGGGGCGGAGGGGGGGGGGTCATAGCCCCGCACCCCCGCCGTGTTTCGCTCCTACAGGGATGCATCCGCAGGTATTTACAGCGGGACGGACCCTCTCTGCTGGGGGAGCTGCTAGCAGCAATCTCTCCCACAGCATCCATACTCTTCCTTCCTTCTCTCAATCCCTCCCTCCCTCCATCCCTCCCAGCCACTCTGTGTGTGTGTGTCTGTGTTAGAATGCAACACAGGTGAACGTTGCAGCAATATTTATCTAAGGCTATGCATCATCTGACGAAATGCCTTAATGAAAAACGCTGATTTATTTTTGATTAACCTCGTGCTGAGAGCAGGGAAATGCATGCTGGGGTTGCACAAGGAACCGACGGAGGCAAGTCTTTCCAAACTGTTATCACGCCTTATGAACAGTTTTAGGATGTGAGCCTCTCAGCTCCCCCTCCCCCACTCCCCCCAAAAAGAACATTATGCTTTGTATGATTTAGCAGTAAAATCTGCCTAGAAATTTTCTAACTCTGAAGTGCCAAACATTAGTCTCCCGAGTACACGCGGTACAATGAATCTGCTTACTGAGACCTACCATATTTACTAATGAAATTAATACACTTCCACAGCTCAACCGGGCTGCAGGCAGTGCAGGGAACACACTGAGAAAATCCAGCACGCACAGAACATGAGCTGCTCTGCACTCCTAAAGGCAATGACGACTTAAAATCCACGGTCCTACCCACTCTTTTGAGATGCAAAATAAACCACAACATGCCATTTCAATACATTTTCTGTAAATTAACATGTGCTTCTATAGGTTGCTGGGTGTGCAGGGGGAAGATTTTTAAACGCATGGAGTTGAACTGAAGTTGTTGTTGGTCTGTGTAGCCTGCCTGCATGATAAAGCATATGTGTGCTTGTGTGTACACAGGGGAGCCATATGTACATGTGTCAGTCTGAGTACATGTCTGTATGTGTGTTGGTGTTGAAATATATATGTAGGTGTGTATGTGGTTACACTGTAAAATGGCAACTCTATCCACCAGTCCATTTTTATCTATCACAAAGCCTGAAAATGGGTAAGCAATCTCATTTGTCAGACATGGCCCCAAATTAATACTGCCACCGAGAAGTAACACATAGACATTGCCAATCTGCCAAACCTCAGCAGCAATATTATGAGCAAGGCCACTTATTTATGCTTTCAGACCCTTAATCCTTTGAAACTGAGCTTTTCTTCTTGGAATGCAGGGTAACACTGCAGTTTACCACCAGTGCTTTATACCTGAGAGATGTGTAAGAGCTAACTGTGCCCATATTCTTTGTGGAAAATACAGAGACTGGAACAAAATTGTTAGAATTCATGTAATGATTCATTAGTAGCTACTGAACCTCTCAGGCTGCTCAGGCACAACAGGGACAAACAAATCAGGCATCTGATACATCCAGAGGCACACACATGATCAGTTTGATATTATGTAAAATTCTATGAGGTTCTCTGAATTGGCAGATAGGCAGAAAGATGTTTTTTTTTCCTGGCAATAGCTGGGGGCGGCAGTGTTGGTGATCATGCATGTGTTACGTATGATAGGCTTTTGGGCTTATGCATTAAATTCTTAGTCAGAGGCATGAAAATTCAGGTGCTTCTCATGTATATGTCTGCATACGCCCATGCTTATATAGCTCTGTGTGTACATAATACATATTAACACAGACGCGAACGTACATGTTAATGCAAGCACATAAACCAAGTCACCAGACTTACAGTTAAATACAAGGCCTAGTATTGCAAATTGGTATGTTTCAATAGATCAAGATACATATCCTTAGAACACCAAGTCCTTTTCTCATGACCACCTCACTGAAACACTGACTTGGGAAGGAGCTGCCACACAGCTTTTATAGATTAATCACTGGAGCCTCAGTAAAGGGCCAACATGATGATCATGACCTGGGCGTTTATTAGCCATATTACCAGTTACATTTTCTAACTCTCAGGCACACAGCAAGGCCTCAAAACCAACGGGGGCCCAGTAAGACTCACTCAAAAGTGTTTCCTTATTCTGAACATCACAGAAATGCACACAACAGTTGCAAAATGTGTTTCCAAGGTTGCAGTGTTGTCTAGCATTTAGGAAGTTTGAGCAATCTGCAGTTCTGAAATTACTGCCAAAAAATATCACCTGATTTGTCAAAAGTGGCCATTTACACTGCCTGTTTTTCTCCCAGTTTACATAAACATATACAACTTATTCATTCCAAATACTTCACGTAGAAGTGATCTGCATACTCAAGATGCACAATCCAAACACAGACGTTTCCCCCTACCTATCTAATAGATTTCCGCTAATGGCCTGTAGATTAGCATGTGATTGCCATGCTTGTTTTCTAATCTTTTTATAGATCTCCAGGTGGCTGTGACATACAGAAAAACACATCCTGTGTGGATTTCTTAGGAATAAACAGTCCCTATTGACTTCAAAGATGAATGCTTATGGTTCTCAGATTATTGCCCCCTCCTAATGCCAGCATCATCACCTTCCATGGGGAAGACACAGTCGCCCTTCGGCTGCTGTGAGGTACATAGGAAGGGCATAGCATTACATAAACTCCCTTTTTGCACCAATTTATGGCAGAATTCATGCCGATGCAAACCACAGCACGCCAATACAGCCCAGGCCAGCTTTCTCTGCAGAGCATCCCTTTCCTTCTCCCAGCCAGGTTAAATCACTGGCCTGGCTTGCCTTCTAATAAGGGTGCCTTGCAGCTTCTTTTCTCACCACAGTTTCATTTCACTGCAGATGATGCTCCTGTTATGTTGAACTTATGGTATGCAAAGAGATATCTACTACAAATCCAAACTATTACATGAGAAGACAGACTGATGAGAATTCAAAGTTGGCGGCGGGGGGAAGGGGAAGAGATGGAGAGGAGAGGGAAGTATTAAAACCACCAACTGTCAGTAAATACACATGGAAACACTGCATGCTGCCAAAGAAGATTACCTGTAGGTAATGCACATAGTAGTGTCAGACTTCTATTAAACAACAAAAAGAAGTTACCGTTTGTTGTCGTGGTTGTCACTCCCTGTAGTTCTGTCTGCGTTGTCTAAACCTGAAAATAGAGAAAAAGAAAAAAAGGAAAGGAAAGGGAAAGGGAAAGGGAAAGGGAAAGGGAAAGGGAAAGGGAAGGAAAGGAAAGGAAAGGAAAGGAAAGGAAAGGAAAGGAAAGGAAAGGAAAGGAAAGGAAAGGAAAGGAAAGGAAAGGAAAGGAAAGGAAAGGAAAGGAAAGGAAAGGAAAGGAAAGGAAAGGAAAGGAAAGGAAAGGAAAGGAAAGGAAAGGAAAGGAAAGGAAAGGAAAGGAAGAAAGAAAGAGGAAGGAAGGAAGGAAGGAAGGAAGGAAGGAAGGAAGGAAGGAAGGAAGGAAGGAAGGAAGGAAGGAAGGAAGGAAGGAAGGAAGGAAGGAAGGAAGGAAGGAAGGAAGGAAGGAAGGAAGGAAGGAAGGAAGGAAGGAATGAATCGTAATTTAGACACTCTCAGTGTGTTTGTTAATAAAAATATATGTGAGCAGGTAAACCTATATGTGTTCAGAAGGTGCCAAGTATATTAAATGTTGAGGTTATTAAATGCATCACTACAGCACTTGGCTCTAGATTCAATTTGAATATAACTAGCTACATTTCCTGCAGATGATTTAACGCAACACAAACCAGATATGAGTAACGTACTCCGGTATCTGCAGGGTTAAATCGATATTTACAGGAAATAATGTGAATAATATCATTTAAAAAAAATAAATTATTATTTCCGGAGAACCAGACTTATAAAAAAAGGCTAAGAATATTATTATTGTTTGGGGTTGCTGAGCAGAAGTGACGAAAGCTAGGGAGGCAGATGCAGGATTTGAATACTATAAGATGCCAGCTACTTAATAAAGGATGGAGGCTCCACCTAGCCTTCAGTTCAAAACATGCAAACCACATTAAGCCAGCGCTTTCTCGCTGGATTTCCTAGCCTTTTCCAGACCTGGATCACCGGGAAGCCATCCTCTCTATTCACAGCCCTGTCAGCTTGCAGAGAGCTGAGAGGGTAAATGCACACAGCGTAAGGTAATCGCTTTTATTGCATCATATTGATTACACCAGGCACATCTTTAAAAACTCATACTATTACTGTTGTCGGGAAGCTGTGTTACAGCGAGGAGGTTTCACCCGTTCCCCACCTCCGCTCCGGGGTGGACCGGAGTTGCAGAAGGTGGCTACTTTTTTTGGGTGGGAGGGAAGGATGGAGGGAGGGAGGGGTGGAGGGAAAGATGCAACGGAACCCCTGGAGGTGTCCACCGCTCCAGCGATACCTGGGGCCGGGGTCGGGAGCCGTGCTGGACTTTGGATAACCCGGGAAGTGATGGCTGCTCGCTCCAATTGACCCCCTACGCGGGAGGCAGAGGATGGACAGGCTGCAGCGAGCAATCTGCATCCCTGCCCGCTGCAAGACATCGCTTCATCTTCTTTCTCTTTTTTCTTTCTTTTCTTCCTATTTTTCCTCTTTTCCTTTATTTTTTTTATTTTTTTCCTTTTTGCTTTTTATTTCCCCCCTTTTGTTTTTAAGCTGTAATATGGAGGCCGCAGGACTTAGTTCCCACACTCCAGCCCTGCGAGTGATTGCCCCTCTGCCTGCAACACCTTTCTGAGTGCACCCAGCCACTTCTAAAATATAAGGGCTCCCTGAAAAGCCACATCTCTCCTTTCGCCGGGCAATTATAACGGCTTTTGCATACTAGCTACACCCCACACGACCAACAGGTTTAGCATCAGGGGCACAAAAGTGTCAGGTCCTAAACCCTGATTTAACAAATCAGATTCCCCTCGCCGGTGGACAGTGGAAGTGGTCGGGGCGACTCAGGAAACCCCTGCCTGCCCATGCTCAGCATCCCTAGTTATTTCAGGGAATTTCCACACCCCACACACAAACATCACGGTACTTACATTTATCCGTCTTTATCAGAGGAAAACTTGACCCCAGATCAACCGAGCTCAGGGTGAGCTAAGCCTCCGGTGGCAAAGAAAGATCCTCAAGGCCAAGGACCCTCGGAATAGAGAAAGCTTTTCCACATCTCCAGAAATTCACGTCTTTCCCTTTGACATCCTTATTTAAAAGTGCTGCTTAGCTCCACGGTGTCATTCTTGCGCGGGAGAGTTGGAAATCTTCCATCCAGAAAAAAACAAACCAAACCGAACAGAGAGAAACGCAGAAGTTGGCTTCGGTTTGGCTCTCTTTTTATTTTTATATTTTTTTCCTTTAATTTTACCCCTTTTTCCACCCTCTTTTTTTTTTTTTCCATATGGCTTCCTGCGCCCTGGAGTAGAAAGTGGAGTGTTGTATGCTAGGCTCTGCAAGTTTTTTGGGGGGTTTGGCCAAGGTCTAGTCCAGCCCTCTCTACTGAGGAGGACGTGCTCTGAAATTCAACCAATTTCCCCAACGCTTTTGTTGCTGGTGGACTGAAGCCCTATTGTTCATCCATTGCCACGGTCTTTTTCAGCTCCTACTATACGTTGTGCGTTGCCAGAGATTATGAATTTGCGCCAAAACCTCTCATAGTCCCATTTTGACAGACGGAACAAATTAGAAATGGCTAGGCTAAAGAAGAGCAATGACTACCTTTGCCTAGAGAGAAGAAGGAAATCACGCATTTCTTTGGAAACATATATATATATATATATATTTCAGCAAAAGGTCGAAATTTAGAAGTTGTTTTTCCTCCAGCTGACTTCTGAAGTACAGTTTCTTCCGGGTCTTGTTTTGAAGAGGCACTACCATCTTGTGCAACTTTTGTCCGGCCAACAGCAGGGGAAAAAAATAGAAAGAAAAACAAAAAAATAGAAAAAAATGATGGTGCTGACAAAAAGGATTCTTTTCCCATCCCTGCCGTCATGCAAACTTGAAGCGTGACCTCTCGTCGCTGGAAGGAGGGTACCAGTTCCTGCCGTCCGGCGTTCCGGGTTTGGAAACAGCGTGAAAACGCCCCTCAAAGCCCCTGTGGATTTTAGAGCACGCGGGAGGGAATGTGTGTGTGTGGGAGGCTGAAGGGAACAAGGTAAGGGGGTGCTGGGAGAGTCTGAGTGTGAGAGGGAGCGGGAGTTGTGCGGAGAGGGAGGGATGGGGGAACGGGGAGTTAGAGAAGGGATGGAGGGGGGAAGAGATGGACAGGTGGAGGAAAGATGGAGGAAGGGAGAGATGAAGAGGTGGAGAAAAGGAGGAGGGTTAGAGGGAGGTTGTGCACGTCGAGGGGGTGCCGTGCTGTTCCCCCGTCTGTCCCCCCAAATCTGGCGTGGCTTTAATACGGCGCCCCGTCCCCGCATGGGCAGGTGACAAGGGAGATGGAAGGGCTGAGGGGAGGGTCGGGCGGAGGGATGGTCGACCATTATATATATATAAATATATACACACATACACACATGCTACACTGGGTCATATATCCATGTAAATATCTATGTATAGATGTGTATGTGTGTATATGTACATATCTGTATATATGTCTGTATGTGTCGGCAGCTGTGTGTCCCTCCCGCAGCGCGGCTGCAGGCAGCGGGCGCGGATTTCCGCGGGGACAGCGCAGACATCCCGCCGCATTCCCCACATCCTTCCCCGCATCCCCCGGGCATCAGCCCGCGGAACTCCGCGGACAAACAGAAGCTCTGCCAGGAGCAGGACGCAAGCCCGGGGTGAATGCAGGCAATTCAGGAAGAGCGCTCGGATGCACTAGAAATAAATAATAATAAAAAAAAGGATGCAGAGGGGATTTATGGAAGCCTACACCCCTCCCGCTGCCAGAAGTCCAGCCGCGTTTCACTAGTTGGCTATTTAGGGTGGGATGAGATGCCTACGTGGAGGAGTGTGCAGCCGCTCGCTGGCAGCTGGTTTGTGCCCAGATCCAGAGGGATGCTCTGGAATATCTCACGGCAGGCTAAGAAATATGTAAAATAACGCCAGGAGGAAAGGAGAGAGGCTAATGGGGAAAGGCGGGTTGAAGTTCTTCCCCCTGCCGCTAAAAGTTCTCCCAGCACCCGTGGCACGCCGCCGCAGGGAGAAATGGGAAGAGAGGAAGAGTAGCAGGAATCGCCCTCCCACAGCTTCTGCCTCCGCCGGACACCCGGTCCCAGCTCATACCACTGCTGCTCTCCATTGAGCTGGTCACTGCACTGCCTCTGTGACTCGCTGGTGAGACCCCCTCTTCCCGCCTCCCATCCCTCAGCCCGGCAGAGCACCGAGCCCCGATACCCGGCTGAGCACCGGTGCCCTCCGGGGAGATGCTTCGATTCAAGTGGCTCAACACGCCTGTGCCGTGCAGCACTTTGGGGAGGTAAGAAGGTTTTCGGCTGGGGTTGTTTTTTTTTTTGTTTTGGCTTGCTTGTTTCTTGGGGTTATTTTTGGTGTTTGCTTTATATTATTTATTTTATTTTACTTTATTTAAGTTTAGTTTATTTATTTTTTTTTTATTGTTTGTGCTTTTTTCTTTTTCTTTTTTTTTTTTTAATGATCATAGTTTTCCCTTTCCGCTTGCGTCCTGTTGACTAGAAGCCGCAAATAACGTATCATTACAAATAAACAAATAAATAAATACACTTAAAAAAAAGAAGAAGGAGGAGGCAGGACGAGGTCGGAGGTGCTGTGGGGAGGGGGACTTTGTTTTGGCGCCTCGGGGAGGGGGCGACACACGAGACGGGGATGGGCTGGCTGCAGCTGCCTGTGTCAGTGTTCATTCCACCAGGCGAGGGTAGCGGAGCAGAGCGGGCACAGCGCGGGGCAGAGAGGAACAGCCCCCCCTTACCCTCCCCCTCCCATCCCTGCTTCACGTTCAAGGTTTAGCAGCGAGATCACGTCCATTGACGTCATCTCGAGGCATCGCTGTGCGTCCGGATACATTCATATACATAGAGGGAATCAGAGCATTAACACAATAAAAAGAACACGGAACATGTAAATCCCGCCGCTCGGAGAAGAGACCGCGGACCCCCGGAGCTACCTCCCCTAGAAGATCCTAATTAACGGAACAAGTACTCGAGCCGCCCCCCCCCCCCACATCATCATCTACACAAATACCCCCGAAAGGGGCAATTAGGCAAAAGAAAATCCAGCCACCACCGTTTTAAGGTATAAAGGCGATACAGACATGCATAGATAGATAATGCGTGCAATGGGGGCTGTGTCACAGGATTCATAATACCTCACCCTGTATTACGGCCTGCGAGCACATTTATATCACTCTTGATTTCAGGGACATTTTATTTCAAAATCTTCTCATAAAACGTGTACCTCCAGGCTGGGAGAGCTGTCTCCCAGGAGCACAATTGGAACATTCTGCCTTAAATACCGCGTTATTAAACTTGTTGCCTTCCATTCTAGCAGGTGCAGCTTTAAACGCACCGCCTGATTCTTTACAAGGAAGAAAGGCATTTTTACAGGTCGTTTAAAAATACTGCCTATAGCATTACTTTTGCTTCATCCGAAAATATCCACAGGCGTTGAATTACATTACAAATACAGATAGCACGTCTCAGTTTGCATTAATAGCGAAATTCTTATGAGGAAGAAGAGTGGTTTAAATCCCTTTCTTATGTTGTACAGGGGCGTTATATTTTTAAGCCAGCAACGTTATTCCACGAAAATAAATGTTTTATATGTATTATACATAAAACATTATATTACTATATGCTATATATTATATACTATAAATGATAAATTATACCTGTTATATATTACATATATAGTATATATATACATAAAGGTCAAAGTGCATACACAGATAATTATTTTCATTAGGAATTACTTACCTCCATGAATGTACAGGGCAAGTTACCCCCCCCCCCCCCCCAAAGACTGTCATGCATGTTTCTATTTATTTATAGATTCTTAATATTTTATATAAATATTTTTATATATTTATTTTTAAATAAAGAGCATGCTCCATCTGTGTTACTCCGTGCCTATTTCACCACATGTATACACTTTGAATTCTTTGGCGTGGCTGCCCCATTCCTGGCAATGCTCAAGGCCAGGCTGGACGAGGCTTGGAGCAACCTAGTCTAGTGGAAGTTGTCCCTGATCATGGCCGGGGGTTGGAACTGAGTGAGCTTTAAGGTCCTTTCAACCCAAACCAGCTAGTGATTAGTACAGTATTTCCAGCGGTACTTCTCGCCCTAGTTTTAACAAGCTCCGCAGTGATAAGTCACCCAATCAGAAGTGGTCAGACAGCTATACATAAAACGTTAAATAAATAACCAAACAAACATAAACCAGACACAAACCCAGCACCCAAGGAAGGAAGGAAGCTAACACCACCACCCGTCTGATTTACTCTTACCCTACCTCCTAACGCTCATTAAGAAAGTACCTTTTTTACATTTTTTTTGTTGTTGTTTTATTTTGGATTTTTTGTCGTTGTTGTTTTGTTTGTTGTTTCCCCCTCCCCCCCCTCCCCCAATTAGCGGATGCCGGGGACTCCCGCCATCCCAACCGATCATCATCCTCCCCTCCTGCGCTGTTAATTAGCTCATGTGTAGCTCTCAAATGTCAGTCCCTCCCTCCCCCCTTTAGCATATACAGGGGAGAGGGGAGCGCAGGGGTGTACTCCTCCGTGATCCCGTCGTGCATCCTGCATCCTCATTCTCCTCCTCCCGCTTCCTCCGCTCCGACTGCCGTCTCTGCGCTCACTCACCCCACGCCTCCCCGCGGCCCCGACGGGACTAAAATTCCCCCCCCCCCCCAAGGACCACCCTCCTGGGATGGGTTTGCTGGGGCTCCGCGTCTCAACATCATTCCCCACCCCCCTTCTCCTCTTCCTCCTCCCTTTCACCCCTCCCCGCATTAGCGAACAGCGGCCCCGCGAATAGCGGCGCCGTCGTTTGAATGCGCCCCGTGCACTGGGGAGGTAAGGGTGGGAGTAAGGTGGGGGGGAGAGCGCCCCTTCCTCACCCTGTCTCTGCCTCTCCCCGCACTCCCCCGACACTTACTACTTGGACTCTTGGAATAGGAACAATAAATACACCCCGCAGCACACTCGTTACTGAGTATCAGCCTTTTCACAGCTAAAAAGAAGGGAGCGTGTGTGTTCTGCGGTCAGCCGCGCGAGTGCCACAGAAGTTGGAGGTTGCGCGGATTTCTACCAGGGACAGGTAAATAAAGAAATTAATACATAAAAGCACTAAATAATGCACAGTTTTGGGGTGGCCGCTGCAGAGCCACGGAAATGAGACGAGATGCTGGGGCTGACAATAATAATGCATGAAATAGTTTCACTTCCTCGCCTTATTTATGTATTTATCTATTTATTTATTTATCTCTTTATGTATTTATTTATTTTGTCCTCCATGCTTTTAATACCCCGATTCCTCTAAAATTAGTACTCAGCATTTTGCACTTAGATTTTCTCCCTCGTCTCTTCAGCCCTCTCGGTCTTCTTACCAAAAAGTATAAATAATCGTGACTCCCGGAACGAAGGAGGACAACTATTTTGGCACATCCTCTGCACACTGACATACTTGTTTTGGCATTATTTGCATTACATTATTTGGAACACGTTCAGAAGAGTGAAGATGCAGGTATACAGGAAAGTGGTGAGAGGTGTTTTTTATTTTTTTTTTCTTTCCTTTTATCTCCTCTGGCAAGATATAGAAACTGAAATGGAAAAAATGTAAATGGCAAACACATAATATTGGGTGACGTAACTAAAACATGACATGAGAAAAAGAAGTGGTTGTGGTTTTTTGTTTTGTTTTGTTTTTTTTTTTAAGTAAGGAAAATGATGATTTTAGAGCTTTATGCCTACACACACACAAATATTAAATCGTAATTTTAATTCCTTGCACTAGAGCTTCCCGTGCTCAGGGTACCCCTTCTTTGGACTTAATAAAGCAGACCCCGAAGCCGTACCCCTCCTCTCTGGGTAAGCGCATCTCCCCTGATCAGAGGTAGGAAATGGCAGGGTAGGTGGCGGGGAGAACTGCAATACTTCCACCCAGGCTTCAAAATGCTCGCTCAGTGACGCGGTTTCCGGGCAGTGATGTGCAGCAAACTCTTTCCCGGCGGCGTTTTAGTTGTTTTAGCAGGCAGAACGCCAGCCCCAGCACCAGCCCGGAGGAGGGTTTTGGCTGCCTGAACCGGCAGAAGAGCGACGAGCCCCATTTTCTGCTCTTTTATTTCCGCCGTCTGTTTACACAGAGGCGGGAAAGAGCCCACCAATGCAGGCGAGGTTTGAAATGCGCGGTTATTTCTCTGGTTTCGGTGATTACGGCCTCAAGGGGAGGAGTAAACCTGATTTTTACTGCAATTTCGGTCTGGAGGGTTTCTCTCCGCACACTTTTTGCATCCCTGCGGCAGGCCGGACCCATTCGCGAGCAGGGGGAACATGGGACAGGACACCCCGCTCCAGCACCCTGTTACCCGCTTTCACAGGATGCTCCGGACAGATCGGGCTCCGGCTTCCCGGCGGCAGAACAGCGACGCCTGTCGGGACCCGCGGCCAGGGCCGGTACCGTGAGACAGAGGTACCGGAAGGAGCAGGCAGGGGAGGGTAGAGGTACCTTCAAGGGTGGGCAGGAGAAAGCAGAAGAGGGCAGGAGAGGGCAGAAGCGGGCAGGAGAGAGCAGCGGAGGGCACGAGAGGATACAGCTCATAGAAGGGAGGAGGAGCGAGCAGACAGGACGACAGGAGCTGGCAGAATAAGCAGAGACGGTAGAATAGGGCAGAAGCTGGCACAGCAGGGAGAACGGGCAGGAGAGGGCAGAAACGGGCAGAGGATAGCAGGGGAGGGAAAAGGAGAGCAGGAGAGGATAGGAATAGGCAGGAGCAGGTAAAGAAGACAGAGGCAGTCAGGAGCAGGCAGGAGAGAGGACAGGATGGGGGGTCAGGACCTGGCAAGAGGGGACAGGAGAGGGCAGGAGAGGGCAGAAACGGTCAAGGGAGGGCAAGGAAAGGCAGGAGAGGACAGATGAGAGTAGAGGAGGGCAGGAGACGATAGGGGGAGCAAGAGAGAGCAGGAGCTGTAGGGGCGGGCGGAAGAAGGCAGGAGCTGGTACAGAGGATAGAGCCGACAGGAGCGGGTAAGAGTGGGCAGGGGACGGCAGGGAAAGCAGGAGAGGGTAGGAACAGGCAGGAGAAGTTAAAGCAGGCAGAAGCGGGCAGGAGGCAGTAGGGGTGGGTAGGAACAGGCAGGAGCGGGCAGAGCTAGAGAGCAAGACCCTTCGACGAGCGCTGCGCCCTCCGTGGCACGGCCTCCCCCAACGGGTAGGTGGTTTCACTGTTCGCAAATACCGCCCCTCACCTCCGCTCCTGAGTCCCGCTCCACCAAAGAATAATAATAATAATAAATAAAACCAACAGAATTATAGAGCATGGCGGGAATCATGACCAGTTCCTGGCGGGAATTTGCCTGTGGCAGAGCATCCCCGGGTGATGGGCAGTACCCCTGTCCCCCCAAGGCAAAGCACCTTCCACACACGGAGAGAGGGTAAAATTTTCACCCCCATGTTAATGGCCTGGGTCAAAACAGGGTCTCACTGCGCGGGTGCCTGTTCTAAGAAAATCCGGGCCTAAGAATGTGGGGAGGGCGGATATCCCAGGAACGGCTACTTCAATATTCACCTCGTTCTTTACTTAATTTGTACTGATACTGCTTGGAAAGACCTGTTTTCTCGGAAGCACTTGCTAGCTGAGCCTAGGAGGCATTGCCTTTCCCCGATTCTACCTTTCTCTTTTTAATAATAAAAATAAAGATGATGCTAAGAATAATAAAAGGAAAGGTTTGGTGTTGAATATAGGCAGATTTTAAACTTAGGAGAGGCAAAGAGAAGCTCTGACCGGGGTAGGCTCTCAGGGGGAAAAGATGTTTAACTCACGAGAAGTTAAACGTTATGTTTGATTGGATTAACTGCCACTTCTTTTTGTTGTTGTTCTTCTGGAATTTCATTAACTGAACTTCCGCCAAGTCGGTGTGCTTTCAGCACTGATTTCCCAAATCTCGTTCCAGGAATTTAGTTTTTTTTCGTATCTCTGCAGGCTGCGGAAAGAATGACCTGGCTCTTTCGGAGCATGTTTCTTCTGGTCCTGCAGGAGTTTATTTCTGCTTCTTCGAATAAATATAAATAAAAAAAACTCATCGGCGTTTCACAGCGAAGAAAGCCTGTGGGAGCACTAGCATCAGGTATGTATATTAAATAGATTTGTATTAAATATACTTAAATTAAGGAGCAGCGTGGCCAGTATATGAGGTTTCAAAAGCAAGCGTGATAACCCCTGGCAAAGGTGACCCTCTCAACTGACCTGGGGCATTCTCTGGGAGCTGGGGAGGTGGATAAACACGGTTAAAAGCAACAGCAAAACGCCGAGGGTCTGCGGAGATCCCTCGGTGCTGGGTTCCCGTACCCAGCCCAGCGCCGGGGACGAGGCCCGTCCGTCTGTCGTTCTGGGGAAGACTTTGCCCTTTTGTCCTGACTCCCGGAACGGCCGAGGAGGACTGACGATTTTGGTACTGAAATGTCACTTTAGCCACGGATCTCACTCATTTTGCCCTGGGCAAGAAACTCTCCCCCCCCACCCCTTCCCCCAAACCTCCCCACTGTGAGAGCGGACGGACAGATAGACGGACGGCGCTGCTGCCGCCGGTTCCCACGTTGCCAAAGCACCCCCGTCCAAACCCTGTCTGTGTGAGGCGCATACATCAGACAACAAACACTTCCAGCACTCCACCAGCTTAATCCCATGGCTGGTTTCCATCCAGGAGCACAACAAGTGATACCGGACACCAGGGTCAGCGCTTGTCGGGCACCACCTCTATCCCCCGAGAGGGCAGCTGACAGGGTAGGGCCCCTCAACCTGTGAGCCACGTTCCGCCCCGGTTTCCCTCCCCAGCCTTCCAATGAAGGAATCAAGACACGGAGCTACGAGCGAGCCAGGAGCTGCCAGCCCGCAGGCGCCCACCGGGGATACGAGGCTCCCACCGCAACGCGCCCCTTGAAGCTCGCTCCCTCTCAATCGGTCAGGGTATCTCCCCTTGCGGGGAAGGCGGCACTCCCCAGGCCAGTCCCACCACTCCCTACCCTCTTCCCTCAGCAGCCCTGTCCCCTCTCCCTCTGCTCCCTTTCCCCCTTCCCTCCGGTGAGATGCGATGCTCTGTGAGAGCACCGCACAGACCCCTTCAGTGTGCGTGTGAATTTAAAGAGCCCGTAGATGAGATCTCGTCAGCTGATCCTCCTCACAACCCAATAGCTTCTACCCGTGTGAATAACATTTGTCACTAAGAAATTAAGGGGTTGTTACGGAGAAAAGGGGGACTCGGTGGAATCCTCCCCAGGTCGCCCTGTCGCCGTCTGCGACTAACAGCCCCCCCCCCCCCCCCCCCCCCCCCCCCCGCCCCATCCGCTCTCGGCCCGGACGCCAGGGAGATTCCCTCCCGGGGCGCCAGGGAGATTTCCCACCTCGCCCCCAGCCTAGGACACGCTTCGTGGTAAGACGGCGCAGCTGCGATTTACCACCCCCCCTCCCCGGCAATCCGAGTATTGACCCCCCAGCCCCGCTACTCACCGCGGTCCATCCGCAGGGGTCCAGGGTTAAGCTTCTCCAGAGCAGCCCTGCTCACCCAGGAGAGGTAAAGCGGAGGAAGGAGGGGTGGAGGAAGGGGGGTGGCCACGGTTATGCCCCACTCTGGACTGCGACGTGTCTCCCTCCTCCCCTTGGCCCCGGCATTTCCCACCCATTCGCAAACACACCGCCCCTGTCCCCATATCACCCGATGGGGGCGGCTGGGGGGGGGGGGGTGTGTCACTTTTTTCGGGGTGTCCCTTCCTTCGGGACCTTCACCCAGAAGTCAGGGCTCAGCCAGGAAAGTCTCGGATTTGAGGCCAAAAGGAGGGGCTAGGTGGCTACCCCACGCCGCCAAAGGGGCTGCCGCCGGGGCTCAGGTGGGCTGTGGGGGGTGGGGAGTAAAGTCTGTAACATCGCTTCCCCTCTTTCTTTTTGGGAATGGTGGTGTTCCTACCGGCGCTGTTAATGAAAGGCCGCTGCAAACGGAGGCCGGCAGCCGGGGAAGGGGGACTGGGAAAGGGGTAAGGGGGTCTGCCCCTGGTTGGGAGAACCTGGCTGAGCATCATCGAGGGAGGAGCTCTCCTTGGACCCCTGGAAACTTTCATTGCTGCAGACACAGCGATTCCCTCCTCCAGGTTTCTTGTCTGAGGGTTTCTTCTGTGATTTTCTCCGAAGGGCTCATGGAAAACCTGCTCCCACAGGGACACCTTCCCACCCCCTCTCCGCCACGGTTTGCAAGACAGATTGCATCATTCACAGCCTCTGCAGTGCGAATGACGGCAAAACATAATTTGCCATCTAGCTAATTGGGGCAGAGGACAGCGCATCGGCTGTGGTTTCGGTGCGGTGGTATGAGATTCGTGTCTGTAACAGAGAGGAGTATTTGCCAGCGCGTTTCAGGGTGTTAATACATCATCTATCCCAATAAGCAAATAGTGTAGCAAGCGGTTCAACTAATGATATCGAAATAAAATTCATCAGTAAGAATTGTATTATATTTAAAAAAGAGAGTGCATTAAAAAAATAAAAAAGGAAGTATTGTAAGCATTCTATATCATCCTATACTATCTTCAGAAGTAAAGTCTTTCTCTTGGATTTTGGTATTATACAAAACGACTCATACAATAAACACAAACGGCTGTCAGACTAAATTAAGAATTACTGTTATTTAAATTACCAAAATAAAACCCATCAAACAATGTTGTTCATTCCAAGGAGCATGGAAACGTTTTCCTTGTAACTCACTTACTTTCAAACAGAAACTAATCCATATTGGAACTGACTTCCTACCAAACCAGAAGCGTTGGCGTCAGAACAACTGCCTGCACGTTCTTGCTGTAGCATGCCTACCTGAAGCAGGTCAAAAAGAACAACCAACCTTCTGAATTTGTGATTTCTCCCCCCCCCCCCCCCCTTACCCTGTCTATAAGCGCTGCTATTGGTTAGATACAGTCACTTTCTCTGGTTCTCTGGTGTCTGCATCCTCCTGAATACACATTCAAATTTATTCTTCAGGGTAGTTTATAAATACATCAATAATACCGGGATGCTTTTTCTTGTGTTTTTTTTTTTTCCCCTCTTTTCATCCCCCTTTTTTTTTGTTTTATTTTTAAAATTGTATTTAATTTATTTATTTATTTTTAAGTAGTGATACATGAAAATCGTTTTCGACTTCAAAAATCAGCTAACTTCTTTTGGGGCATGTCAGCTCCAGTGGTGTTAGCTATCAGTTGCTGTAGAGCTCTAAGATCTCAAGCGGGAGAGTGAGGGGAAAATGGATTATTAAGCATGGACTCATCATCAGATTGGTTGTCAACCCATTTAAATCTGTGCAAATGGTTTTAAAGGTGCAGAATAGTAAGGACCAGTTATTTAAGTTACAAAGGTGTGTGGCTGTTTCAACTTGTAACTCAAACTCATTTAATCTCTCTCACACAGGCCATATATATACCCAAACTATCTTTCTCGATATAAATATATACCAATTTTGCTCGATACATATGTATTTTGATATCTCTACATCTACCTCTATGTATCTCAATATCTCAATAACTAAGTACCCATATTTAACAGGAGATGAGTCTTGTATACCTATATGTACATATCTATATCTAGTTTATCTAGGTACCTATAGTTTATGTATGCATATATCTATATATATATAGCAGGTAAAGGCAAGGTATTCAGTTTTTCAAATGAATTTAAAGGGGTCTGGAGGATTTACTGAAGTTAAAATTGTTTATTCAAGGATTTATTAGATGATTCTGGTACCGCAGTTGTAAGGTCACATAATTATCAGAAGCAAAACTCTCCACAAGAAGCTGATGCCGTTCAAATGGAGACAAAACATTTTAAACCCTATGTAATAATTATTCTGGTGATGTAAACCACTGTAGTTCTATTTCCATCTTTCCTCTAAAGATTTTTTTTTTTTTCCTCCCCAAAACTGCTCTTGTAAATAGTATACCCCAAAATGAAGGCCACCCAAAACCCGCCTAATTGGTGGTGGGAGCCGGAAACGGGGTCGTTGGTCGGTCCGTGGCACCCCCTGGGGAAAATTCGGTTTAAAACAGGACGCGTTTCGTCCTCCCCTTCACTAGACGAAGTCACTTCAAGTACCTCATGAGTACAAAATGTGTTATTGTTTCTCGGTTATGTGAACAGCTTGACTCCATCTCTACAGCTAGTACTTCAGGGATGGAGTCAAGCATCCTGCAGTACCAGGATGATGTACCAAGCAGGATGGACTCAACACCTGCATTAGGCGAGGGGATGCTCTCCTCGAGGGAGAAACGAACAAGGATATAAAGTTTGCTGTATTCTTAGGAAGCTGGTTTGTTTTGAAGCCAGAGTGGAGAGCTATTATAAAATAAAATGTGCTTCTTTAATGAAGAGACCTGTGATGAAGGAGAGAGGGGGCAGCGAGCCGCGCCGGGCGGGACCCTCCTGAGAAGGTGCTAACCAGCTCATCCCGAGGCGCATCAAGCGCTTCCTTCAGAGGAAAACTGTCCCGTGTCAGCAGAGATCGCTGAAAAAGAGAAGTTAACGTGAATTACTTCAGTTACTTTGTGTTTTTTTTTGTTTTTTTTTTTTTTAGGGTATGGGTATCCTTTCGAGGTACACTTAAACGGGATAATTTTCCTCAAACGGCGCAGAAACCACAGCAGACATTTTCAAAAGAGCTCGCTATTTTCCTGCTTGGTGATATTTTTTAATATTTATTTTTGTATTATTTTCTGTTTGTTTGGTTTTAAATTTTCTTTTTCCTTCTTTTTATTTCTTAATTTTTCTTATTTTTTTCTTTGTCTTTTCTTTTCTTTTCTTTTCTTTTCTTTTGTTTTCTTTTGTTTTCTTTTCTTTTCTTTTCTTTTCTTTTCCTTTTCTTTTCTTTTCTTTTCTTTTCTTTTCTTTTCTTTTCTTTTCTTTTCTTTTCTTTTCTTTTCTTTTCTTTTCTTTTCTTTTCTTTTCTTTTCTTTTCTTTTCTTTTCTTTTCTTTTCTTTTCTTTTCTTTTCTTTTCTTTTCTTTCCTTTCCTTTCCTTTCCTTTCCTTTCCTTTCCTTTCCTTTCCTTTCCTTTCCTTTCCTTTCCTTTTCTTTTCTTTTCTTTCCTTTTCTTTTCTTTTTCTCTTTTCTTCTCTTTTCTTCTCTTTTCTTCTCTTTCTTGTCCTTTTCTTTTCTTTTTTCTTTTTTCTTTTTTTTTTAATTCTCTCTTATGTTTCTTTCTTTTCTTTTTGTCTGTTTTTCCTTTTTCTTTCTCTTTATTTTTATTTTTTACTTTTCTTTTGTATACCCCCCCCCCCCCCCCCATAAACAACTAAGACTTCCTTATCACCGGCGGGGTGGGGGGGAAAGAATCACTTCAAGGAGTTGTTAAACTACCACAGGGTATTGATGAGGATCAACTGGGAGGTGGGAATCGGCAGCGCATAGAACCCAGCTTGCAGTCCCAAACCGGTGCTAGACCCCTCCGCGGGGGTTTCATGCCCCAAGGCCCTGTAGCCCCCTTCCGCACCGTGACCCCCCTCCCAGCGCAGCTCCGCGGTTGTAGCTACCATTGAGAACGGGACTTTCGGGTTGCAGAACGCAAAGCTGCGCTGAGGAAGCCACTCCTGGTCCCACACGGACACCTCTCCAGCACGCTGCTTCTTCCCTCCTCTTCCTCCCACAAGACAACCCCCAAACAACCCCCCTTCTCCTCCTACGCGTGTTCCCTAAAACTGGGATGGGAAGGAGGGCAGGACACTCCTTCTAGCGCCGGAGAAAACCCTTCTCGCTTTGATTTGGCAGGAGGCAGCGCCATCCGAAGCAGACACCTTGTGCCTGCTCAGGGGGGAAGGCATCCCCCCCCGCCTCCTATCTTCCACCTTCTCACCCTGCTATCGAAATTCATCGGTGTTAAACCGGGAAAGCAGCACCCTGCTCCGGCAGGGGGATTGGACTAGATGATCTTTTGAGGTCCCTTCCAATCTCTAGCATACTGTGTGTGTGAAAACCCCGCACTTTGTGTATGTGTGTCCGGCCGCGCGGTTAACACCAGTTTTCCATCCCGACATCAGTGTTTGCTCCCGACCCCCGCACCCTCTGGAGGGCGCACGTCGTAACAGTGCATAACATGGTGCCTATTGCATATTATGATTGATAATCACCGTTATTATTAAAAGAAAGCACAAAGAGACCAACCTGCTGACCGGAGAGGTCCCCTCTGCCCCGCACAGAAGGGCGAGCGAGGGATGCTGTTGGGAGGGAGCAGCGGAGAGCGGGGCGTTGCTGCCCCCTGGCGGCGCAGCATGGCGCTACTCCCGCTGGGCACCAGCGGCGCCGGAGGAGGGCGGAAAGAGTAGAAAAAGCAGAGGAAAATGAATAATAACAGTAATAGAAAGGACCAGCGAGGCAGGCCTGAGAGAACAAACGCGCCCTCGCCATCGCTGATATCCCCGGGGAAATAACATAAATAAAATTAAAAAAAATAAAAAAAAATAAAAAAAATAAATAAAATAAACAGGAATAGGGAGAGGGAGGGAAGGCAGGAGGGGAGGAGAGGAGATGAGAGAAGAGAGAATAGAAGAGAAGGGAAGGGATGGGAAGAATCAGAACAGGCCTGAAAATAAAAGAAATTTTCTGCTTTTCAAAAGTTGCCCTAAACTTTGGAAAACCACCAGGGAATGTGGTCAGGAGGCGTGCACCTTCCTGTGGGTGCAGGCTGTGGTGGGTCTGGCTGGAACAGCCTGGAGTCAAAGCAAAAAATAGGGCAAAAAAGTGGAAATTTGGAAATGGTGATGAGGGGTGTGTGAAACGTAAGGAACCGTGCAGAAATTTTTGGGGAACATGGTGGAATGAGGCAGAGGAGTGGAGCTGCACCAAGTGCGAGTGCAGAGGCAGGGGCAGGTGTGAAATATTACCTGCAGAAGGGAAAAAGCAGATATGTGACTTCATTTTCTAATTCTTTACATTTTTACTCTTTTCCCTTTCCCCCTACCTTTTTTCTTTTTTTTTTTTACTTTTTTTCCCCCTTTTTCTTGGAATTTTCCCTTTGCCAGGCACAAGCTATAGTTCCATCAGTTGGGGTAGGTGCTCTCCAGTTCTCCCCCATGGCTCCCCACTGCTCTCTGTCAGGATGCCTGCCTTGGGTATGCAGCAGCAACG